GAATGGTGCCCGGCACATAATCAACACTATCCAAGTATTAATCTTAACCAAAAAAAATCTCTGCACGTTCCTTTCTCTGTGCCCATGTAGCCCCAGCTATATATGTGTTTTGTCCTTTGGAATAGGAGCTTCTTAAGGCAGGGCCTGTGTCCAGGTTTCTCTGTACTCCACTATCCAAAAAGGGCCCAGAACTTGTCTATTGATTGTGCTAGTCATTGTTATTTTCCAAATATTTTGGTACCACATGGTCTTCTAGATTCTTGCTGCTACGTGTCCAGAATTGAGGTCTCTTCCCCTTCTCCTTGAACCTGAGTGAGGTTAATGTCATTGCCTCAATAGAACATGGTGGAAATGGTGCTGCAGGACTCTTGAGGCTAGATTATAAAGAGGAGACAATCCCACCTAGCTCACACTCAGAATGTTCACCCTTTGGAGTCCGGCCACCATATTGTGAGGAAGCCCAAGCCCTGTGGAAAGGCCACTTGTAGGTATTCCAGCCAATTGTTCCAGCTAAGTTCTCAGCCAGTACCAAGTGGTAGGCCTGTGTGTAAAGGAGCTTTCAGATGACTCTAGCCACAGCCTCTGGGCTACCCCAGCTGTTGCCAAGTAGAGCGGAGATGAATTCTCCTCACCTAGCTCTGCCCAAGTGACGGATTTGTGAGCCAAAGAAATGCTGCCATTGTTTTAAGCTACTAAGTTTTAGGATAATGTTTTATGCAGCAATCGACCCTGAGAATGTGGGCTCAGCAAATCAGCAGACATGGCCAGAACAGAGGCAGGGGCTGCTGGGTGTGGGGACAGCACAAGGCTCAGGTTCCTGGCTGCCCTGGTTCTCAGTCTGGGTCTGCTGCTCCTTATACGTATGGCCCAGCACTTCTGCAATTAATAGATTTGTCAATTATTCAACCAGCAAGGGCTGCTGGCAGCTTGGCCAGAGACGATGGATGTAAAGCCCCTGGCCCAGTGCCAGGCAGAGAACAGTCCAGTTCCGTTCCTCGTGAGTATTCTCAGCTAATGAAGGGCAACTTTGTTCCCTGAAAACACAGGGCGAGAGACCAAAAAGGAGCCCCAGCGTGGGCTGGGTCAGGGGCTGTGAACTTAACCCAGACGGAAGTTCATCTCAAAGCTAATAAAACTCGGGCTTCAGGGTCCTCACTGCATGAGCAGAGTGTGCACACGCTCACAGCCTTTTGTGAAATGTACCAAAGTCAAAAATCGTTTAAGTGAACTGACTAGCGCTGCTGTCTCCTCCATCCCAACTCCCCCTGCATCACATTTCCTCTGTCAGAGCGTGTTGGACAGGCCAGGTGCATTTCAAGGACCTTGCTAAGGGGCAGTTAAGTTGGGCGCCCATTTACTGTAGGTTTACTTGGATATGCTAGTGTGATTCACAGCCACTTCCATGAGTAATTCATTACTCCCAGCAGTTCAGCCTCAGGAATAGCTTTATGCATACTCCTCCTGCCCACCGTGCCCACCCACCTGGGTCCAGAGACAGAGATGCAAATTCAGAGGCACATCGGGAAGGACATGCCCTGCCGTGCTTGGCACCCAAAGTCCACTGGCTTCTATTTATGGAAAGACAGATGAATGTTTTATTTATAGAAACTATGCTAAGTCATCATCGTATGAAGACACAATCGAAGAGTACGCAGCTAAAGAAGTGGGAAAGTATTATAGTATCCGGTGATTAATACAAATGTATTATTTTTCTGGATTTAAAAAAATTTTTTTTTTTTTTTTTTTTGAGATAGAGTCTCATGCTGTTGTCCTGGGTAGAGTGTGGTGTCATAGCTCACAGTAACCTCCAACTCCTGGGTTTGAGCAATCCTCTTGCCTCAGCTTCCTGAGTAGCTGGAACTATAGACACCCACCACAACGCCGGCTAGTTTTTCTATTTTTAGTAGAGATGTTCAAGACTGCCTCTTGCTCAGGCTGACCTTGAACTCCTGAGCTTGAGCAATCCACCCACCTCGGCCTCCCAGAATGGTAGCTTATTACAGGCATGAACCACCACATCCAGCCCTATTTTTTGGGATTTTAAGATGTTTGTGGTATTAGTCAATTTTTTAAAAATGTGTAATTTGGGCTCGGCGCCTATAGCTCAACCGGCTAAGGCGCCAGCCACGTACACCTAGGGTGGCGGGTTCGAATCCCCAGCCCGGACCCGCCAAACAACAATGA